TGCAGCTACGTTCTGTGACATGTCAATTGTTTCTCTGTTCTGATCTAATGCACTGTAGCCCTTGGTCACTCAAGTGAGTTTTCAGAGAACCTGTAAAACATGGTAATAACTTACCACATGCTAAAAAACCCTCAACAAACTAACAAACAAAACCCAACAACAACATGCCCTCCCCAAACTTATTAACAGAATTTAAATATAGTTTAGTTTGTTATTGTGAATCCCACAGACATACATTGTCACTGTAAGGTGTCCCTGACATAACAACCTTCTGGCTTTCTCTCTTTTCTTCTCTGCTCTACTGCTGAGGAAGTAAGTGACCTAACATGCTATAAATGCAGGATTGCTAGGAAAAAAAACCTCTCCTCCTCACCACAGCCTTTCCATATACAGCAAAATACACATAAAAGGAATCAATGAGTGTGGCATTCAAACAAAAAGGTAGCGGCTCTTTTAATTTTGACTAGTTTATTACCCAAATATATGGCACAAGACTATATACTTGGGCTATATGCACAACCAGGAAAAGAGTCATTTAGGGCAGAGAGGTGGAATAGGAAACAGAACAAAAAAAAACCCCTCTTCAGATGTACAAAGAGAATTGTTTGCTATGTTCACATTCCAAATTTTGGTAGTATGTCTGCCATTATGCTACGTCTATGATGTCCATTGGAGATGAACACCCTTCCCTTTCCTCTTAAAAGACAGTGTCAAAACCAGACGTTTAGCTATAGGGCCAATATGAATCCATGTGCTCCAGCTTGAACGTACTTAGTTAAAGAGCAGGCCACTTTGTTTAGCTGTGCACCACATAAAGTGACTGAAAAGTAACAGTAAAATCTCCAAGGGTTTGTATGTTCTCCAGATGTGATATCTAGAAAAAGTATCTTTGTTTTATTTTTCAAGCAGTCTCCAGTTTTTCAGAGGAAACAGAAAGCCACAGAAAAGGAATGGGGAACTTAATTCTACCATCTGATCATTAGAGGCTGTTAACTCTTCACTTAACAGACCATTGGATTTCAAATTTGCCTGAGACAGGAATTAAAAACTCAGATTTTGTTTCATTTCCACATATAACACTGACAGGAACAAGTACTCCTCAAATTGAGCTCTCCTCAGACACTGTTTGCCAGCTAAGGATGAACTGCTTTAGGTGAATCATTTTAGGTTCCATCTTCCATTTTAGTCAAGGCAGTAACAGATACAAGTGTCACACTGATTTTATTGCCTGCAGAGATCTTGAGCCAAAATCTTTAGGGGCTGAAGCACCATTCCCATGGTGAAGGTGATGACAAACACCAAAGCATTTCCACCAAATAGGGAGTTGGGGTATTGGGTCTTAGCCAGCAAAGCAATCTACCTAAAAACACAATGTAGAATTCCTGACAGATACTGAAATGCACTTTTTAAGTAGCCTTCTGCAACTGAATTTCTCTCATTGTTCTCATTTGGGTCATTATAACATTGAACAGACTTATCACTGCTGAAAAGCAAAACTTTTAGTTATATAATTGACTACATACAGTTGTAATGAGGCCAAAATAGGCAGACAAATGCAAAATCACTTCACCACAAATCTATGTAGAAAAAATCACTCAGGATGATGTGACTGAAATTACACTACATATTCTATCAGCTAACAGAAACCCTGCATGCTCCAGCTGCTAAACTGTGCTTAAATGCTGCCCTCTAAAGGTCTCAGAGCCACTGGCATAACTTTCACTTTCTAACAAAATTTCAAGAAGAGGGAAGAATTTACTTCAATCTCAGTGAAGCTGAAACCAATGAAATCACCTCACACAACGAGAAGAGGCTAAAAGACCTGCAAATAGATACAATTAGAAAAAAAAAATCTTAATTTGCAGATGTTCATTATAATTATTAACCTAGGGCAAGATTATATAATCATCATGATAGGAAGATTATTTCATTTACCCATTAGAAACAATCTAAAATAAACTCTGTGCAATCAGACTATTATAAGTCTTGGTCTCAAGTACTCTGCTCTCTTAAATCTTTATTTGCAGGTTAGATCTACTTCATGTAAGAACTGCAATCTTCACTGAAAACTTCCATCTTTTCAAGGCAAGATTATTACAGTTGAAACTTACCTGTTATGTACCACTGAAAGACATTACTACTAATTATTGATTATATTGCTATGAGTATAGTACAGCACTAGCCAGACATAACTGGCCTAAAATCAGATATCCAGAGATCACCAAATTACACAATTTCAGGGGCACACAGGCAGGTGAGCAACTCACATCAATGACAGTGGTACGTAACTGACTCCAGTTTCTCTAAAAATTGTGTGGTGTCATTCAAAACAGTGAAAAAGTACCATCATTTTCACTGATTCAGCTCTAACTTTGTTAATAAAAGAATAAAAGGAAAAGGTTTTTCTGGATATCTCTGGATAACAACCAAGACTAAAAGCCATCAAGTGATTATTTGAACAGGCCACTGCAAAAAAATCATTACAACTGTAGGAAAAAAACCACTGTAAGGAAAGCATGTCATTTGTGATGCCCTAATTTGGCAGTTAAAATTACCAAAAATTTGGGTGTTTATGTGCTGCATAACCAGCTGCCCTCAGTGTTTAAAAATTAATAATTTTTACCTAATTCATACAAGGTTTGTTTTCTTTTATTGGTTTTACATGTGATGTACCACTCCTTACTTCCATTCTTCTGCTCACTACTGACCGTGTTCTTCGTAAGGGTCATCTGGGTCATCTGCAACCAGCTCAGCACTGCTCGGTGTCTCATGGTCCTCCTTGGTCGCAAATATAATTCTGTCTTTTCCTACCACATAGGAAACAAGAAGTTCAGATAAATCTGAGACAGAATGAGAGTCATTTACAAAACCGCCACGAGGTAATGAGATATTCATCGTGATGCACTAATGTTAATGGTGACTGAATTCTCTTTTACTTAACCATCATCTTCAACTATTGGCTCAGTGGAACTCATACACACTGAAATTCCATTCTTCTAAAGTTCCAATTTTCACAGCAACGTCCTGTAATGGCTGCAGATCACAGTGCAGTTCATTGAACTTTGAAATTAAAAAGCTGTTTCAAAACAAGCTTAAACTAGCCTGTTACCAGATGAAGGAGTTAGACTAAAAAAAAAAGAAGAGTGAAAGAAGAAACCACACTAAATAACTGTTCAATATGATACTTATTAATAACAGTGCTCTTCATTAAAGACTAGTGTAATATTTTACAGTAATCATCTGAATTAAATATTGAAGAGAACCATCACGGTGTAGAACTAACTATACTGACAGGTGCTGTGAACACTCCCAAGGACAGAAACCCAACACAGAATACTTCCTGCTCTTGGGCCACTCTTGATTTAACCAAAAAGTTCCATTGCAGGGTGGGGAGGCTTGGCTGGAAACCTGAGTGGTTTTCTAACAGCTCTGTAAAACTGTAACAGACAGTCCAAGGCAGGCACAAGCAGAAAAGAACAGCTACCTGAAACTCTTCTGAACGCCCAACTGAGTGTTCAGTGAGCAGAAAAAAATGGTAAAGTCCCAGAGAATTCTCCCAATTCATAAAGTCACTACAGTGACTCGGCATATTAGAAATTAGGATCTTCTGGCTCCTCCATGTGACCTCAGCCAGCAGATGTTCACTAACTTCCTTAACTTTGCTCAGTAACCAACATGCATTTGAACGTGTCTGAGAAACAAATACCTCAACAACCTTTTAAAAAGGGAAACAGCATTCTGGCAACTCTGCATTGTACTCCAGCAAACTTTAAAATGTGGAATGTTAACTTATATAAATGGAACTAGAAACAAGTGAACTCTAACCCCTGTCATTGTAATTTTGTAGGGCTGCATAACGCAGCCTACAGATCTTGAAAAACTAAATAAAGGACAGCATAAAGCATAAAAGATGTCCATAGGTTATGACTGCCTCACCGCGGTTTATAACCAGCATTCATTGTGCCAAAGTTTGTAACTTAACAAACAAGACCAAAGCCGTCTTTGTTTTTTTTCCAGTTTGAAACTTTACATTTATCCACTTTGCATTACTTAAGAGGTCAGGGATACTTATACATATGTATGGATATATACATATATACCTATATAAATAAAGAAACATATCATCATCATCGTGGCTAGGCTTCGCGAACGAAGATTTGGGCAGAAACATATATATAGATATATATCTCCCATTATAAGAAGTGGTCCAGCCTTATAAATACCACAACCCGTACAACACCATACAGAAGTATAAAGCTCGCGCTCTGCCCCCCCCGTCCATCTACCGCGTTTTCCTTAAGAAGGCAAAACGCGACACCTCTGGCCACTAAGCTACGCCAAAAGAGGTAACTTTAAGCCCTGCGGGCGGGTGCCATTGCAGGACAGGGAGCCGCCCGCACTCCGCAGCAAAACACGGTCCCAGCCGGGCTCTCCCGCCGCGCTCCGGCCCTTCCCAGCCCGCGCCCGGGGCTCGGCGCCCTCCCTGCCTCATGGCCCCGCCGCGCTTCCCGCCTTCCGCCCGGGGAAGGGTCGGCGCGGCACCGCTGCCCCCGCGGGCGGCTCGCGCGCCTCTTCCCCCCCTCCGGCTGCGCCCTCCCCTCACGAACGGGCGGTCACCCCTCGGAGCCCCCACCGCCCCCCGGCCGCCTCAGGGCGAGCCCGTCCCGGAGGGGTGACATTGAGGAGGACACGCGGGCGCACCTTCCTGCCTGCAGTAGGACATGGCGGAGCCGGCCGGTGCCTCCCCCCGCAGCGCGCCGCGCACTGGCCCCGCCGCTCCGCCGCTCCAGCACGGCCCGCACCGCTCCGGGCAGCGCCGCTCCACGCCGCGACCTCACGCCTCCGGAAGCGCCTTCGCTGCCCGCCGGCGGCCGCTGACGCACCTCCTGAGGAGGGAGCTGCGGCTCCGCCAGGCCCGGCCCCGCCGCACTACAGCTCCCGCCCGCCCCGCGGGAGGAGGGAGGAAGGCAGGGAGAGAGGGAGGGAGAGAGGGAGGGCTTCCCGGCCACGGCGGGAACTACGCGTCCCGACGTGCGCCGCTGCGGGCGGGGAGCGGCTCGGGGGCGGGAGAGCCCTAAGGCGGAGGAGGGCGCGGCTGTCGGTGCGCGGCTCCTGCGGTCTCTGTGTGGTGGTACCCGGAGGGATCAACAGGCTCAAGATGTCGAGGAACGTAAGTGCTGCTCTCACCGGCCGCCCGGGCCGGCCCGTTCCCCCCGCGAGGTGCCCTGGCTGGGGCCAGAGGCCTGGACAGGTCACAGCCCCCGGGCATCTCCAGAGGAGACGAAGAGAAGCCCCATCCCCTGCTTTGGCTGCGTGCATGTTCTGATCTAAAGCTGCATCTTGGCAATCCCCCACAGCCCGCCTACGCGCAGTGAAACTCCTGGGCTCTCCAGGGCAGCAGCAGCGGTTTTGTTTTAAGCTATCGGGTTTTGTTGCCCTGGATGTAATTATTTTGAAGTATGCGGGCGCTCTGTCGCTGGTGAGGTGAAGTGTAACTTGTTATTTATAGCGATGTTTTAGCTGGTCTGGAATTCAGAACTGTTCTCCAGTTTGTCACGGCCTGAATGCAGGGTGTGGACACCAAACGCAGAACACAGAGACAAACTGGAGAAAGCTTGAACCACTGTGAAAGAAATCGTTTTCTTCCATCAGGCTGGAGTTTTATTTATTGATTGTATTTCTGATTCCAAAAGTGTGATGAGTCATTTAATAAGTGTGGGAAAATTTTGGTCCAAGGCAAGAGGTGCTACTCTGTAGAGCAGTGGTATTACCAAAGCAAACAGACTTGTTTTGAAACGGAATGCTTTCCCCTTCCACACCAATATTGCATTTTTGGTTTATCTCCAACAGTTCTCTGACACTGGCAGCAGAAAAGAGCATGTTAAAATCACAAGTGAGTCCAAACCAGGGTTCCTGGAGAGGCTCAGCGAGACTTCTGGTGGCATGTTGATGGGACTTGTGACATTTCTTTTGGCTTTCTACCTTCTTTTTACCAATGAAGTAAGTGAAATATTCTCCATGTTTGTACACAGCTTTATTACTTCATGCATGAGAAGAAGAGTTTACATTTGGACAACTTGGTACTTATGCTTGGGATATAAGAGAAGAGTGAAATCACAGGACCACAGATAGTATTTCTGTAGAACTGAGTGTAGTAGAGACAGTGGCAGTGTGCAGTGAGACAGAAGATGAGAGACTGATGCAGAAACAGTCTGTGGTATTATTGTAAGGGAGTTGCATGAGCCAGCCACGTTCCAGCCTTGTCTCTTTTCTTGGGATAACAAAAGGCCCTAATTTCTAGTGTTGTTACAATTGTGCTAAAGGAATTCATACCCCATGTTGCAAAACCAGGAGTGTTATTTATTAATTTATTCTCAGTGTTATTTTATATATTGGTTTTAGGTTAAAAAAAAGAATAAGCAGGGAATCCTAGCACCCTGCCATTGCAAACATACAGGCTTTGGCAGTTTTGGAGTGGGGGAGCATAATTTTGTGAATTTTCACCTAAGACTTCCTTTTGTACCTCTGCACGAGGAAAAAGAGCTACTCCCAATTTTGGTGACTTTGCAGAAGAAAGCACACCATGACATCATGGTAAAGCAGGGGAAACTGCTACCAAGAAGTCTTTTGGGTCTATGGAGAAGGGACCATAATTTGCATCATTTTTGCAGTTATTCATGAACGATGAACAAAAGAAGTGAAGAGCTTTGGACCATTGTAGGAATAATTTATGTTTGAGAAACTTAGTCAATATTAATGGTCCTGCTGCGTGGGGAAGAAATACAGCCCCAAACTGTGTCAGACACAGACAGAGTAGAGAAGTACAAGTGTGTTTTGAAAATATGCCTTGAGGCTGAATACACAAGCATTCCTTGTGGTCTTCAGTTTAGTTGTCTTCTAACCTTTTTCACAAAATACTGCTGTGCCATTGATTCTCCACAAGTTGATTTTGGTTTTCTTGATTTCAGGGACGAGCATTAAGGACAGCCAAATCTCTTGATGAGGGACTTTCTCTTGTGGTCCCTCTTGATACCATCCACAGTATCTCACAGCAGAATGAAGGGAGACTGGTGCACTTGTCTGGTGCTCTGAGTACATCTAAGGTAAATGAAATAGTACCTTGAAGATATGAGTATTTTAACCTTGGAGGGAAGGAAAAGTCTTTGCCAAATAAAGTTACGTTTGATATCCAGGAGAGATGTGTAGCTTTTCTCCTCCTCTGTAAGCATTGCCAGCTTTATACTGTATTCAAATGTGTGTAACATAGAGCTAACTGTGTCCAAGGAGGTATGTAAATGGGTTTGATAGTAAAAGCACAGTGTTTGAATTTGTGAGGTACAGCATTTCTACTGACTTATGTTTTCTTTAATTTTTCCACAGCCCTTGTTTGACCCCAGCTATGGGCTCTCCATCCAGGCTGTCAAACTTAAGCGTAACGTGGAAATGTACCAGTGGGTAGAATATGAAGATTCCAAGTAAGTGAAAGTAATCTTTAGAAGTTCTTTATAAAACTGTTGTATTAACAGGATCCCATCACAATTTTTTTTTAACTTCATTCAATCTCTTAATTTCTTTAGTACATTGTATGTGTGCAAATTGAAGTACTTAACCAAGACACGATTTCTTGATTTTTAGAAGACTGCTACCTTAATAATAAAAACCCAACATTAATTTCTAGATTTGAAAGTAAACTGCAAATTTCAGTTTGAGAAATACTTGGGTTAGTTCATCATTGGCAATATTGCAGTCTTTGTACCTTTTCAAGGCAATTAACAAAACTAATGAGATGTTTACTCTGCTCATAGTTGCAAACCAAATAGGGAAAATGTTTCTGCTATTACTAATAATTCCACTGTATGAATGAAAGTTATTAGCTCTTAGGTAGGTCTGACTGCTCAGAATTCATGTTCCAAATGTCTTTCATGTCACAAAAAAAATCAGAGGTTGTGAAGGTTTGAAAAATAATTTCTCAGTTTCAGCTTGCTTGTGGTGCAACATCTGTAAAACATTTGATTTAGGTCAGCTCACTGTCTTTAATACTGGTTGCTCCTCATTGATCTAGTCAGCACCTCCTTGTTGGAAACATGGGAATAAACGGGTTGTGGCTGCTCAGCGTTTGTGTGTAGTTTTCTCCTTATACAGAGAATCTCTGTCTTCAGAGCTCGTAGTTCAGAGAAGAGTTAGGTTACGTGTAAAGATAAGTTTGTGTTGCCAGTGATCTGTCTGTTCATTTCATTTGTAAAGTGTATTCTGCCCTGAGCAGGGGAGTGTGTGCACTGTTTTGGTTCTCATCCCAACCCCTTTTCTCTGCAGGGAATATGAAGAGAATGGTGAGATTAAGAAAGAGACAAAGTATTCATACAGTAAGTTGATCAACGGAAAGTACCTTTTTTTATGCATGTAACTTTGGGCTTTTGTGGGTGTGTATGTTGTTTATTTTTAGTAAAACCTGTACTTTCTTCTTGGGAAAGAAAGGAAAGGAATGTGAAGAAATAAACAAAAGTTCTGATACCTAAACAAACAGCAGAACCTCCTTTCTTGAGCTAACTGAGGTGAAAGGAGATGTGCTTTTAGGAGAAAGTACTGCAGAAAATCTGAGTATTGTCCTGGAACTGCTGAAGGTTCAGAGCAGCATCCAGGGATAGAATGCTCCAGAGACAGGACTCACAAGGACCCCAGTGACAGGAAATGGGCAGAGATGGAAGTTTGTTCAAAGCTACACCTGAGATTACACTTCAGGTGGGGAATAACTGGGCATTTATCAGCTGTGAGCAGCAGAGAATAGACAGGAAAGAACAGTGTAGCTGCTGCCTCCTGTAAGGGAGCCTTTTGAAAACTTGTTTATGTGTTGATACCAGGTAATGAAAACCACCAGCACCTTCTGATGTGCACTGTGGCTTTCGTCAAAGGCTTTTTTGGCAGGAGCAGAACTGAGCGTGATATTCTGATCTGCCCAGGGGCTGGAAAATACTCTGAGTCATCGTATTGCTGGAGATTGGTCTCTGTGCTTCATTTATCTCTGATTATAGCTCATGGATGTGTAACGTGGGCGTGCAGCAGTTTCTGGGTGTGATCACATAAAAATACCCAGCTCAGTGAAGCCTTGGACCCTGTAGCATGGAGGTACATAAGGAGCAAAGCTGGTGGTTGTGAGCTGTGAAAAACAGCCTTATAGGCTGACAGGGAACAAAAAGAAATGCCATTTAAAAAAACAGCTACCCTCTCAAGACTGATGGATTCTGTCCAGTGAATGTCTGTGTATTATTAGCTGTGGTGGGTTAGGCTTGGCTGGCAGCCAAGGACCCACACAGCTTGCCTGCTCTCCTCCTCGGGGATACTGGAGAAGAGACTTGGGAAGAGCAGGAATTAGAGAGCTTGTAGGTTGAAATAAAGATAGGGAGATGGCTTTCCAGTTGCCATTGTGGGCAAAACAGAATTGACTGGGGAAAATTAACTTAAATATTTATTTTAATTGACAATAAATTAATTACTGAATCAGTGTTGGCAAAACACATTTGCTCTCGCCCTTTGCCAGGCTCAAGTTCACTCCAGACTCCTGTCCCTTTGCCCCCTGTCCCGTGTTATCACCACAGGTTACCCTCACTCCCTTTAGTGAGGGCTGGGGTTGGGCTTACAGTCAGTACATGGTGGTTTCTCTCTGCCACTCTTTCCAGCTCTGCTGGTTTCAGCAGAGCTCACAGCCCTTCCTCACAGAACCAGGTTATTCCCAAAGTGTGGATCCAGGAATCAAAGCCTGATCATGGAAGATACCAGCAGCAAAGCTGAGCAAAGTTGAGTTACAATTTTATCCCTAACATTTTTTTTTTCCCTAAATGCCACCATTCCCTAATATGCTAGGAGGATGGATCTAAGTATCAGTACAGACTATCCCATGCATACCTTGATGTAAACAGTATTACTAGAAGTGGGACTTTGAGCTGATTAATTGATTCAGAGGTGTCTTCAGTAACTCAGATCCAAGTGTCTTTTCCTCAACCTTCATATCATTCTGTTTAGATACAGAGTGGAAATCGGAAGTTGTGAACAGCAGAAACTTTGATAAAGAAATCGGACACAAAAACCCAAGGTAATGTTCCACCTGGCTCAGTCCCTCTGGATTCTGTCACTGGATCTGATCACAGATGAAAGCTAAATGTGTAATTTCATAACACAGTGAAGTAGATGGAAACTGTTGTTCTTTTGGTAGTTGGGAGAATGAAGGTGTAAAGAGATTAGAGAGCAGTTCAGAGCTGCCTGGTGGGACCAGAATCAAGCTGTCCATTGGTAATGGCTGGGCATCAGGCTATTATTATATTACCTGTGGACCATGGGGTCTCTGTGCAGGAGAACTTGAATGGGTTCCTTTCTGGCTTTTATTGTCCTTTAGTGCAGTCTATTAGTAATTCTTTCTTTTATTACAAGTAGAGGGTTAGAATAGCAGATGTCCCCTGAGCTTGTCATGCCACTTGCATGCTGCCTTTTCTAAATCAGTGTGCATGAGCTCACAGGCTTGTTTATGGCAATTGCCATATAGAATTTGTTTCTTATATCTCTCATCTGCAGCATTTTAGTTACACTATAATGTGCCATTTTTATTGCTAGGTTTTAGCTTGCTGGCCATTCTCCGGATGTTTGCCATAGTACCTTTTCTGTGCTGTATATTACATACTGCAAAATAAGAGTTTGATTCTGGGACTAATCAAGGACCCTCTCTGTTCCTCAGTGCCATGGCTGTGGAGTCTTTCACTGCTGTTTCTCCTAACGTCCAGGTTGGCAGCTTTGTCCTTTCTAAGGGTAAGGATTGCTGTGTCCTGGCTTTGTGTCTGCTGTTGCATCAGCAGTGGACTTTGGTTCTTTTCACAATAGCTGTTGTGTCAGGTGATAATCAGGAAGCCAGCCAGCAAATTGGCTGTTCCAGGTTAGACACTGGGCCTCAGCGTGATGCTTTATTCTCCTTAGGTCTCGTGGATAAAATTGACAACTTCAAGCGGTTGAGCTTGGCAAACCTTGAGGATCCACATGCTGATGTTACCCGAGGAGGAGATTACTTTTATCACAGTGATAACCCCAGGCGTCCAGAAGTAAGACAAGAAAGATAAACCAAAGTAGTGATTACTCTTAGGTGAAAAAGAAACTGAGGCATGTCCCATTTCTATTTAAAGATATAGAAAATGGAGTGCAGACCATCACACAGGATGACTCCCTTAGTGCAGTCCTTCAGCATGAGTTCTTGTCTTGCAGGAAGCTTCTGATCCCACTTCTTTGTCTTCTATTTTCTTGAGTCTACCATGCTTTTAAATGGAAAGACATGGAATGGTGCTGGGAGGTGGGTTCTACCTCTGCCTTGCTGAAAGCAGTACAGTGAAATGGCTTGTTGTCAGCTTGTGCTGCCTGATCTGCTCTGCCAAAAGATGAAATGAGTAGCAATGAACAAAGCATATAATTGGTATTAATGTGCTCCTGCAGCTAAATCAGAGGAGGCATTGCAATACAGCTTTCGAGCTCTCCTGTTTCGGCTGTCAACTAGCCCTGAAAAAGTACAGCTTGGAAATCATTCTGGATATCCTCTGGCTTGACCTAAACATTCAGAAGAAGTGTTAGTACATAAAGGGTGTTCCCATGCTGAGTTGTCTTTCCTGTGATTCTCCTTTGTGAAACAATCTTTCTTGACTTCCATTCTTTTCTTGTTTGTAGGTGGGAGACCTTCGTGTCTCGTTCTTCTATGCAGGTCTAAGTGGAGATGATCCCCATTTGGGCTATGCTGATAAGGTGAATCTTCAGCTGGTTTTGTATTTTGTAAACTCTGTTCCCAACTCTGTAACCAGTAAATACTTTTCCATTTGTTCCAAGGTGACTGTGATTGCTCGCCAGCGAGGTGATCAGCTGGTTCCATATCACACCAAGTCTGGAGATGTCCTGGAGATCCTGTACCCTGGGGATCTCTCTGTGGAGGTGAGATACCACACTGTACTAGTGAAGGGTTAAATCTGGAGATGGTAGTGCAGAAGCAGCAGAGGAGTAAGCTCTCATTCTCCTTCAGACCTGCTCTAGTGGAGGAGATACTCAATGTAAACATTGGCTTTTCTCCCTCCTTTCTCTAGAACAACATGCTGTAGCCTGTCTTTGCCTTCCAGGTTTCTGCACATTCTGTATGTTGCAGAAAATGCCAAGCTTTGGCAGTAACAGTCCATAATTTGGCTATAATAATTCCTGGAGTTTTTTTTAAATCCTCTTCTGATGCTTTTGAACATCCTTTGCTTTAAAGACTGTTTCTGTGCCTTCTCATTTTGCTTTTATTTGCTCCTTGGTAGTTTCCTGCTTATACATTCAAGCACGTGCTTTTGAAAAGGTGTCATGTAACAATAGTAAAAATCAGGCTTTAATTAAGTAAACCATAGGAGGTATTCTCTCTTCAGCTCCTAATAACAGGACTTCAGGCTTGTTTTAAGTGTTTATTGCAAATGTGGCTGAGAAAGAACCTTCAGGCAGAGCATTATGCTCCAATAAATCCTGCATGCTCCAGCAATTTGGTGATTCATTTACTCCTTTTAGTAGGTTTGTTTCCATTAATGATTGTATCATGCCTTGCTGCAAAAAAACCCCAGATGTCAAGAGTTTACAGGAGCTCCCAAAAGCAGTTAAAAGGGCTTTTGTTTTGACTTGAAATAGTAGCACTAGAATCCCCTCTCTGCTGTGAGCTTTGAATCTTCATTAGAATGAATTCTAGTTTATTGAAAATTAACTCACTACAAATGGATAATTTGTAGAGTACAAGTATGTACAAGTAATCAATCAGTCATACACTGATTTAGTGCTTTATTATGTCCCAGCTGTGTTCATGTGAACCTTTTCTAGAGCCAGAGGGTCACACAGCCCATTTTGAAAAAAATCTTAGAAGTCTTGCAGATAGATGCTTTGCTTTGCTTTACCTGATGAAATGCAGAAATACCTTTTATCTTTTCTTCCCTGTATCCTGCTTGCTCTCTTTCACACACCTTTCCTTCAGCCATCAGTGGATAGTGTTGCCTTTTCTCTCTTCCTCCAAGCACAGTGAAGTCAGATCCTTCTGTCTTTAGTACAGTCACTTATTGGTATCTTGTTTTCCACCATAATGTTGAATGTATCCAACTGCAGCAAAACCTGTGTACTCTCTGCCTGTGGTTAGTGTCAAATGGTGCTTGTTAGGCTCTTAATTCAGGAAAAAATTCAGTTTCCCTCATGCTGCACTGTGCAATCTGTTGCAGTGCACTGCCACACTGCACAAACAAACCCTGTGGAATGAGCTGCAATGTACTTTCCACAAGAGAAATTGTACTCCTAAAATAGTGTTGTCTCTGATTTGCTCATAATATGCTGGAATTAAGAGGATCTGGAAAGAAATCAAGGAACAGGCTTCATGTCATGGTGTTTGCTTTCAGGAGGTATTTCAGAAGGAGCATCAGAGTAACACCGCGAAGACCTGGGCCCTCCGTGCAGCAGGCTGGCTCTCAATGTTTGTAGGCATCAGCCTAATGACCCGAATCTTTTACACATTAGGTAAGATTTTTTACAGAAAGGTAAAATGATCTACAAATAAGATTGTAACCTCTAGAGAGTCTTCTTTTGCTCCCATATGCAGTTAATTAGTTTGGAGACCAGGAGGAATCTGGTTTGAACTCAGATTTGATTTGATTTGATCTGAAAGTACTGTAGGCAACTGCAGGTAAACAGGATCCCAAAACCATCTGGTTGCTTTGTGAACACTAAAAAAATCCCATGCAAATATCTATTGCCAATCTCAGAAGATCCAAACCCAGTGCTTACCAAAATCAGAAGCCAAAGCACATGTTGGGCTGGTTCTTTCAAAAGGTGCTGCAAGACAATGACTTTCTGCACCCACATACAACTGGTCCCCCCCAACAGGTCCTAGTCAGTAGTTGTATAGAAATATGTCTTCATGTCTGGTTATTCTACACTGTTGTAAACAACAGCAAAGAAAGTTTTTGTTTATCCTTTTAACCTATAAAAATGCTGGAATAAAAACAGAAAAGCAGGACGATGCCTCAAACTTGTATAAACTTCAGACATCAAAGATATCATTTGCTTTGTAGCTGGGAACTTTTTTTTCTGATCTATTTATCCATATACATGCTGCTGCAAGATCTATTGTTACCAGAAATTAATTTTCATGCTAACATCTTGTATCAGTTGCCCTAGACTTGTTCCATAGCTGCAAGGCTATTCATCTCCTCTGCCTCTCAAGCCTTGGGTAAGTCTTCAGACTTCATTTTGGATTACCTCCTGTCTGAAGAGATCACGATAGCCTTGCCTTATATATTTAGCTGCTGCTTAATTATCAAATGCCTTGAGGATGCCTGGAATGCCTTATCCAGTGCTCATGATAAATAACTTGAGTCTGTCATTTGATTGCAGTAGTTAGTGTGCAGGTCCTAGGCATGAACAAGACTTTCTTTAAAACTGTCATCCTGTCAACTGCTTTATCCCATATTTAATTCTCTCTGCAGTGGACTGGTTTCCTGTTGTGAGGGATCTGGTTAACATTGGATTGAAAGCATTTGCCTTCTGCGTAGCCACTTCGTTGTCACTCCTGACCATCTCCGTGGGGTGGCTCTTCTACCGCCCCCTCTGGGCTCTGCTCATCGGGCTGCTCGCCGTGGTTCCCATCCTGGTGGCAAGATCTCGTGTTCCACCCAAGAAGCAGCAGTGAGAAGGAGGTGGTCGGATCTTGAGCTGAATCCTGGTTAGAAAACTTCTCAAGTGCATTTCTGTCCTGGTTCTTGCACTGTGCTTCCAGCAAATCACAGCTCAGCAGAGAGCACCAAGAGCTGGGGAGGGGACTTGAATGGGGCTGTTGATACACGTTATCCATGGGACTATAGGATGCTGTTTGTAGGAAGTCAGTGACATCAGCTTTGGGGGAAAAAAGCAGTTTGGAGTGTCTGTGTTGATGATAAGTTAGTGAACAAGCAGCTTTGTGCCTCTTACTGCTTAGTAATTCCCCCAATTTGAGAACTGGCAAGTTCTCACTGACAGGTGTGGGTGTGTTTTGGAGAAGGTGCCAGCTGGATCCTATGGACCATGGTTAGATATCCTTAGGAAATATGTGTGTGTACCTGTCCCTGACAAACCCTCCCTCTGCTGCCTTTTCTACTAGCACAGTCAGGTACACTCCTTTGGCTGATGCATTTGGCAGTGTGTGTGTTTAAAGGGAAAATTGCTTAAACCATGTGCTTCTGGACTGAGGATTTTCAAAGTAACTCGGTGTAATGAGTGGCCAGGTTAGCAGTGCTCTGAGGTCGGGCGAATTTATTAGAAGGCATTGATTTCTCCCAACCTTTTAAAAGTCTCTGAAGTTGTTCTTGATTAAGCATCCAAAATGATAGCCCAGACTATACCATTGCATAAGTATTTCAAAAATTTAACTTCAAATTGCACTTAAAGGGATGCTCTGAGGTCACTAACCTGTAAATATACAACCTGCTGCCTTGAAACGACATTAACTTTTATAATTGAATATATAGTCCTTAAAATATTTGGGGATTTTTGCTGTGTATACCGTTTCTTTTGAATTTCACTTAGTAAGGACAACGAACATACTCCATGAAATTAAATAATGGAAATGTTTTTGCCTGACTAGTTTTCATAGATTTTAGTAGCCTAAATTAAGAGCTTTGTATCATGTTGGAGGAATGCCTTCTTGTAGTGTTGTGATGGCTCATGTTTACATATTTCTGTTGTAACCAGTACTCGAGACTGGAGACACTCTTGTACTGTTTAAAGTCTCTCCACCAGGATGGAGTCTGGCTTCCAGATGGGCCCTCCTGCACTACAGTGTTTTGGGGGTTTCTGTTAAGTATATACAATTCTGTACAAAAATAATGTCTTCATTTATGAAATCTATTTATGACCATCAGAAGAGTGTTCTCTGTACCAAAAGAACTTGACTTGAACCTACATAAAAGCAAATGTTTGCTAGAAATGGTACTGACATAGAAATGAGTTACAAATCATAAATGTTTTGAGAAGTCGTAATTACTTTATTAGTCTTAATTACTTTAATTCTTTTGGTATTTGAATGTTGTTGGTTCAGTCTCATGTCTCGGTTCTGCCGGTAAAAGCAGGAGCAGTGAGTGAAAGGACAGGAAGTGGATGTGGCCTCACACATGCAGCTGGCCCGTGTTAGTGGTACTGCAGCGTCTTCCTGCTGCTCTCCAGCACCAACTTGTGCTCCACCAGTTAGGAATTGCGCTCCACTGGGGAGAGAAATGGGTTGGAATGCTGCTGTTTTGCCCATGATGCAGGACACTAGCCAGCATTACCAAATTAGAGATGAAGATACAATTTTCTACAGAAGTGCTGAGCTTTTGTATATTTAATAAAATACGGTTTTCAAAAAGTTGGTCTGTAGGATTCTTTTTTATTAAATGTAAGTATTGTACATTACATGTCCAGGAATAGTGTCCAGGTACGTGCGGATTAGTTTGTAGCTCCCACATGAACTAGTTTTCTATTGTTGGTTGAGATAAATGCACAGGTGTGTTTTGTTTGTCCTGCAAATACTTCCCCATTTTGGGAAGCAAGTTGCTAATGACAGCACAGCTGCTCTCTGGTTTGTGTACTACTGGTGCCAGCCTGCCATGGTTTTACTCACCGTTACTGACTACTGAAATCAGTCACTTCTTTGCCTCTGCAAGATTATTTGAAAAATATGATGGTTCAACCCGACTGCAACAGCCTATTGTATTTCTAAAGAGACTGGGGGGTTACCTGTCCATTCAGCAGTGTAAAATACTTTTTGTCTTGCATCCCAGTGTGTGCACCAGAATAATACACAATAAATTAAGATTCCTTTCACAGAGGAGAACTTCACATTCCCCAGGCCAGGTGCTCTGGTGAAGCCAAGACTCACTTTCACTGCACGTACACAAACAGTGTTTCTATAGGAACAACTTGAAGCACATTTACTCTTTCATCTTTCCCATGCTTGGACTGGGAGCACCAGCTGTCCACATGGCTGCAAAGCAGGATCCTGCCATCTGAAAATGTTCTTGTCTCTTTTCCAGCTGATTACAAGTAACTCCTGGACTCACAGGTTTGTGTATCCCTGCTGTGTGTCCCAAAGTGAGGCAGCACAGAGTTGCTTTGGTACAGCTGATACCAGCTCCTGATTTAAGCTGATGAACAGCTATCAATACCAGCAGAAGCTGGACATGGGCCCCACACCAAGCACACTCATCTCAGGGTGTATCCTGTGTCCACACTAACTCAGAAGGAAATACACCCTCTGGGCCCACTGCAGTATTACCCGTTCCTGCAAAATACAGACTTCTTGAAGCTTTAGGTACACGTCGGATCTACTCCCCAAGCCTCCAGCTCAGGTTGGTCTTTATATTTTTTTGGAATTTGGTAGCAAAAACTGAACACTCAGAATGAAGACCCTTAACATGAGAACAATTCACAAGCAGCTGGTTCTGGGCTATCCTGGGACCCAGGATATTACAGTGTGTTCTTATCCATGGTCCTTCCAGGGAAACAGCTGCTTACAGAACAGCAAGCTGGCCAGAGGGGAGGTGTAACAGACAACAGATTCTTTTTTTCAATCTTTATTTTGATCTACAAATACAGTACAAAAATAGATTTTTTTTCTGAACATAATTACATGTAAGCCATTTTCTTGCATTTCAATCTTTTCTATGTGACAGTGTCCAGCAATGACTAAACTGTTTTCCTCTCTACTTTAGCAGAGACAGTATCAGTGGAATTTAGATATATAATACTGAAAAAGACAGATCAGTATTTCTACTACAAAGTGCAGGAAAAGCTTGTGTAGATTTTACATTCCTCTCTCAACAGTTTTTTAATGCTATGGTACTGAATAACAAGAACTCCATGGTTTCAGTGAATTTTGTTTCTGACAGTGACATTCAGCCAGTTTTACATGTTTTGCTTCAGAACAGGATCTTGGTAAGAAACAGAAGCAAATATGTATGTATTCAAATTCCTTAAGAGGGCATACTGAATCTTAAGTTTGAAATGAGGACAGGGCTTCTACCTTCCAAAGCACAAGATTTCTGAACATAAAGGAAGACAGTAGACTGAAAAGCCAAATCCAAGTTCCCAAAATGCAAGTATTCTTTACAAAGTAAATTTTGATTCCTCCAATTCCTGATTGGCTATTTCTTTTGACCTTAGAGGAAGTATATTCCCTCCTGTGATTATGAGACAGAAAGGCCAGAACTCTCACCGTGGATTTGGATAAACTATGGATCAAAGCAGGTATCAGCAGTTCTTTGGGCAGCTCTCCACAGACAGTTAAAGAGCAGCTGGATGCTTTAATTCTGAGCAAGCAGGAAAAATGAAAAGGAGTAAAAATGGGAAAAGAGGGTGCTAATGAAAGAATTACTTCTGGAAACTGAATAAGAGCTGAGTGATACAAAAGAGAAGAAAACCCTCCAAGCCGCAAAGTGATCTCAGAAGGTATAACTGCATGTCTGCTGCTCCTAAGCCTAAGGATAAAAGGAAGAATCTAATTACCTGTATCAAAGGAAACTGGATACTGAGTGAGGGTGGTCCCTGACAGCTCAGAAACACAAGTGCCCAGGAAGACTAAGTCCCTAACTGGCAAAGGATACTTTTACTGTGACTAATGTTCTTGCATCTCGAAATAGCGAGGAAAAAGCTTGTTCTAATCACAATTTCTCAAAAGGGAACAACTGTGCTTCTTCACCTTTCCTTTCTCGCTTGCTCTTTCTGGTTTTTTTCTCTTCTTCTTTTTTCTCTAACTGGCGATTTTGGGGCCAAGAAATAGCCACATTCCCCACTGCACTCTCTGAGCTCGGAGCTCCTTCTTCATCAGAAGAGAATCCCGCCCCTTTCTCTGTCTCAGGTGCTGATGGCTCAGTCTAGAAAAAACAGGCATGAAAACGGTAAGTTGTTCTAGGAAACACTCATAACCTCCCCTTTCTATAAGGGCTTGTCATCTGTCACAGTGACACTGAGTGACCTTACAGAAGTTGGTTGTTCCAGTTTGGGGCTATTTCTGGACATCAAACATTCCTTCAACACAACCAAAATGTTTTTAATGATGGATAAATAAAACCAAACCTGCTAGAAAAAGATCAGGCTTTTCACTTTTCTCACTGGGGAGAAGATTAAGAGCTAAAATACCTGACTTCATAACAAAAAAGCATCCCAATCTCATCCCATTAGCTACATGCTTGGCTTGGAGGAATAAATCTAGGAAGGGGGTATGTCAAAATACAATACCAAAAAACAATGCTTTGGGAAACAATAATCTCTTGTTAAACAATAATGAATCTTTGATGGACATGACCACATTGAATTTCTGGTGTAGTTTTTTTGACTAGGTGCTAGTCACATGCTACCAGTGGGAAAGGAGATTTTTGAGCAACTATACTCTGGAAATTCCAGTCTACACTTGGAAACATAACATATTGGAAAGACTGGAAAAACATCTATTGGTAGAAAGATAACATCCTGAAAAAGAAATCACTAATAGAAATGCAGAATACCTTGATGGAGTAGCGTTTCTTCAGTTTCTCTCTGATGAGAAGTCCTTTTGTCAGCAGCTTCCAGTTTCCCAGAGCTCTCTTCTCACGCTTCTGTGGGGGATTGTTATTGAAAAGAAAAAAATTTACTATTATGAGTTTTGATGTATTTGTGCCCACAGAAGACCAAAGTTTGCACATTTTTTTTTTAAACTGCCAACAAAAAAACCCAACACCAATTTAAATGTGTCACAGAAAAAGATTACAGGCAAATAGATTCTTAAATGTAAAATATATTTGTGTCCAATTACCTGCTAAATACACAAATTATGGTCACTTTCTAACGTACACACTGATTGTGCAAATTACACCAGAGCTACCTCCAAAACTTTATTCTTACCTGTGTATTCCTCATTTTTGTTTCCCAGCAGACATGGAAAACTATTCCAGAGTATGCAGATATTGCTACACACTTGTACTGCATCTCACTGCAGTCTGGACAGCAACTCCAGACTGGGGCTCTCAGGGGATGCACCAAGCCCCTCACAGTCACTACGCTCTGTGTTTGTTGCTTACACAGCCCACCCTGTTTGATTGTCCACAGTTTCAATGAAATTCACTTAATAAATGTAACAATAAGGAAGCTGCAAAAATAACTCTCACCTCCTTCTCCTTCTTTTCTATTTCTGCTTGTTCGTTCTCCCAGG